ATTTACATCTGTCCAGAAACCTCGAGGTGAAATCAGAACTGTCCAAAATACTCAGTCTCATGGTTGAAGCACTGACAGTGAGTACTTTTACACTCGCACCAAATACTGGGTGAGCAGTCTCCTGACCTTTGAAACTGAAAACCTGCGTAATACTATATTTAATCATTCTAATCAGTGATCAGAAGATCTCACTGCACATACGTAATGGTCTGTCGAGTTTCGTTGAGACAGAAAATAAACGTAGGACATGTGATGGAAGCTTGGAGCTCTAAAAATACAAACAGCGTACATACATTTTTAGCATGTGACTATGAGCGCTCATCACTGCAGCGTGTGCAACGAGCTCCAGGTTCATACAGTGAACACACATGCACAGAGCAGCGTGACTGTGTTTGTGTTTTCCGTTCTGGACGCATGAGACAGTCATCTTTTCACTGATTCTCTGCAGCTTCCTCTGTAATGAAGAGAAAGTGCCGCGGAATAGAAACCTGCAGCTCTGAGACGTGAAAACTCGTCCTAACTGTTGGTGTTTGTGGACACAGACGCTGAGGAGCGGTTTGTCCACGGAGGCCTGCTGAGATGCAGCGTCGCCCTCCTCCCTCTCCTCAAATGTCTCTGATCTGCTGCGACACATGAGGTCAAAACACAACTTTATCACGTTACTCCTGTGAAGAGAAGGGTTTTGTTTTTCACTGCGTCTAAATTCTGACTCCCCTCATGTTTCCCTTTCGATGAAGCTGCGTCAGGTTGAGTCGCCCACAGGTGAATACATGAAACTTCAGGGTCAGTTTTATTTGTAAGTGAAGCTCGTCCTCTGGAGTGAAAAGACAAAAATATGAAAGATATAATAATCTGGAGAGTCAGGATGATATTAAAGATAAAATTTGATAGATGATGATATGATCTGGGAGGGGGAGAGAAAAAGGTTCTTGGTACAAATCCCAGTTCGGCCGAGGCCTTTTTGAGGAGTTTGGTCGTCAGGTAGATTCACCTCCTCTGGTTTATGATCATTGAATCAGCTGCTTCGGGACTGATTACACACGGACTGCACATGTCTGGGGTTCAGTCACTTCACACTGGATGAAAACACTGAGGTAGTTTATTTGCAGCAGAGCAGAACAGACACTGATGATTTCGAAGGTAAGATGTTCTCCACCCTCCTGTGGACTATTAGTGAACGATGTGGTTTCTGCAGCCGTGTGACAGAGGAGGCCAAAGAGTTCATGATCCTTTCAAAGCACAAAGATGAAGACATGACCTCATGCTGCAGTTTATT